CAACTTTTCTTGCTTTCTTTGAAGTTTGGAGGTTGTGTGTGGTTTTGTTGCGGTGCTTCCGTGCCGGGATGGCGTCTCAGGCGACGCCATCCCTGTCTTTGAGACACGGTGCAAGAGCCGAGCCTCCGCCCTCCACTCCGGTGGAACAGGTGCTGTTGGCGGTTGGAGACCAGGTGGGACATGGAAACATTTAGTTTGCCTCGCGCATGAACAAAGGGCTCGTGGTGTTTCTCGAAGGTCAGGAGCAGGTGGGTCAGCTTGTGCAGAACGGGATTCATGTAAATGGTGAGTTTTTACAGTTTTCTCCGTTAGCGCTACCCTCTACCCGCATCACCGTGTCAGGAGTTCCTCCCTTTGTTCCTGACTCTGCTCTGGAGCGGGAGCTCAGGCGTTTTGGGAGAAAGGCGAGTGGATTCCGTACGGTGAGTCTGGGGTGTAAAAACGATGAACTGAGACATGTCCAGTCCCTGCGGCGGCAGGTGTTCATGAACTTAGACTCTCCATCACAAATGCTGGACGTGTCATTCAGAGTGAGGCATGAGGAGGGGTATTACATGGTGTATGCTAGTTCTGGTGTGATGAAATGTTTTGAGTGTGGAGATGTGGGTCACAAGCATATAGCTTGTCCCCACCGACAGAATGCAGCAGGACCGGGAGCGGAGACCGAGGCAGAACCCGCGGCCCCCTCTCTTCTGGCGGGGATCGGGCCCGTGTCACGGTGAGTGACGCCGTGATCGGTGGCTCGCCGGGAGAGAGTGAGGGTGCAGCAGGGCCAGAAACAGTGGCAGACAGTTTTACAGTTCCGGACGGAACGAACGCCGGTACTGGCTCTGACCCAGTGGAGCAGCGGCCAGAACAGGCGGAACATGGAGGCCTACAGCCGACTGGTGACGCGTCTGCCTCTTTAGAGGTGCGTTCACCAGAGGAAGGACTAGAGGATCAGGTAGAAACAGGCCAAAAGGCAGGAATACAGCCTGTAGCTAACAGAGGACAGCTAGACTGTCAGGATGCACAGGTTCCTGAGCAGAGGCAGGTGGAACCAGAGCGAAGCGGAGGGGGCGGGGCTGCCTGCTGCTGGTTGCCATGGCGACTCTGTAAATGATGTGGTTAATAAGTGTGATTCGGACTCAGACATTGTTTCGGAAGCAGATAGTGAGTTGCTGGAGGAGAGCTTGTACTCTCTGGAGGAGATTAGTGAGTTTCTGGATGAAACGTATGGACTTACAGCGATATTTTCCTGATGCTGTAAAGTTTATCAGGTCCGCCGTCACACTGAAGAAAGAGGTGGGCCTGGATCGTTTAGATGAAAAGAAACGTTACCGTTTAAAGAAACATGTTTTGAGCTTAAAAATAAGTTTAGGGTGGACTAAAGTGGGGAAGAAAGGGAAGATTATAAAATAGGACTCATGAATAGGAATCACTGGGTGCCTCTTTTTCTGCTGGTGATCTGGGCTATTCTCTCATCTTCCTTGTGTATGAAAGGCATGAGAGTTGCATCCTTGAACATAAATGGGGGGAGGGATCCACAGAAAAGAGCCTTGATTAAGGAAGTTTTTAGAGATTAAAAACTGGATGTTTTATTCCTACAAGAAACACACAGTGATGCTAAAAATGAAATAGACTGGAGGCTGGAGGCAGGGGTGGAGAGGTCAATGCTTCCTAAATCATGGCACAAACACACGTGCAGGTGTAGCAATTTTAATTTCCCCAAAATTGACAATAAATATATCAGTAAGAACTGTAGAGCAGGGTAGGGTCCTATGGGTCAAAGCCACACTAGAAGGCTTTAGGATAAAGCTGATTAGTGTTTATGCACCCAACCAGGGATCAGAGAAGGGTTTAACATACTTGGGGAGGAGTTGAGTAGCGTTACTGCTGATGAATGTACCATTTTGGGCGGAGACTGGAACTGTTGTACTGATTTTTACTTTAGATAGATCTGGAGAGGAACCACATCTTCAGTTGTCTAGCCTTTTGTCAAAAATCCTAACAAAAACAGACTTATTGGACGTGTGGAGATTAAAGAATCCATCAAGTAGAGAATGCACATGGGTCAAAAGGTCAGGTGGAAGAGTTAGTGCTGCTAGATTAGACAGATTTAATGTCTCTGGTACTTTTCTCTCTCTCGAGTGATGGACTGTCAAATAGTCCCAGCTATTTTCACAGACCATCATTTGGTTATACCTGAACTGATGCTTCATTTTGTTGGGACAACAAAATCCTACTGGCACTTTAATGTAAAGTTATTACACGATTTTACCTTTTGTAACAATTTTAAACTGTTCTGGGAGGCTTGGCGGTCCAAAAAGAATGATTTAAGACCATCAGTGAATGGTGGGAACAAGGGAAGGCACAAATTAGAGTTTTCTGTTAACATTACACGCGGGGGTCTACAAACAAAATAAAAAAAAAGACTATGGCAGATCTAGAGAAGGACATCAGGGTGCTAGAGACTCTCTCCACTACTCAACTTAGACCAAAAAAGACAGCAGCTTGGGCGTTTCCTGCAAGAGGGCCAAAGGGGCCTTGATCCGGGCTCGTCTCACCACAATACAGGACATGGATGCTCCAACATCCTTCTTTTTTAACCTGGAAAAGACTTCAAACCAGAAAAAACAAATGGTTGGTCTTCGTCTGCCAGATGGACCGTTATCCACAGGCCCAGTGGAGATGAGGAAGCATGCAGTAGAATTCTATACCAGCCTATTTAAGGCAATCCCATGTGATGTGAACTGTGCCAGAGAGCTGTTGCAGGAGCTTCCTTCCTTGACCACAGCAGACCAGGAAATCTTAAATGCAGACATAACTACGGAGGAGCTAACAACCGCAGTATCCCAGAAGGCTGCATGAAAATCTCCGGGGATGGACGGCTTACCTGCCGACTTCTACAAATTCTTCTGGAGCAGTGTGGGACAGGACCTGATGGATGTTTTTAAAGACTCACTTCAGACAGGAGCACTTCCTGCATCGTGTAGGCGGGGCGTTCTGTCCCTGCTGCCGAACAAAGGGGACTTAACCCAACTAAAAAAACTGGAGACCAGTTTCCTTGTTGTGTTCAGACTATACTAAACGTGCTGGGATTTTCAGGCTTTTAAAAGGTTATTATGTGTGTTATGTTGTTATTGCGGATTGGTTCGGCGTCTGCAGTGATGCGGACGCTGAGCCGATCTGTCGTGGTGAAGAGGGAGCTGAGCCAGAAAGCCAGGCTCTCGATTTACCGGTCGATCTACGTCCCAATCCTCACCTATGGTCATGAGCTTTGGGTAATGACCGAAAGAACGAGATCACGGATACAAGCGGCCGAAATGAGTTTCCTCCGTAGGGTGGCCGGGCTCAGCCTTAGAGATAGGGTGAGGAGCTCGGACATTCGGGAGGGACTCGGAGTAGAACCGCTGCTCCTCCGGATCGAAAGGAGTCAGTTGAGGTGGTTTGGGCATCTGGTCAGGATGCCTCCTGGACGCCTCCCCGGGGAGGTGTTTCGGGCATGTCCTGCTGGCAGGAGGCCCCCGGGTCGACCCAGGACACGTTGGAGAGGTTACATCTCCAATCTGGTCCGGGAACACCTTGGGGTCCTGCCGGAGGAGCTGGTGGAGGTGGCCGGGGAGAGGACGGTCTGGAGCTCCCTAGTTGGGATGCTGCCCCCGCGACCCGGACCCGGATAAGCGGAGGAAGACGACGATGACGTTGTTATTGCTTTAGTGTTTGTTGTTCAGATTCTGAACGGTGAAGGTCCAACAAACAGCTTAGTAAACCACTCATTTTTAAACCAGACCCGGTAATACCACACACCTTGGTAAAATGTGGAGGAAGCTAGACGGTATTACAGTTGGATACTGCCCAAGCCTACGGCGAGCTAGAAGTAAGAAATGGTTAACACTGTTAGATTTAACCTTTAACCCATGCAAAAGTGAAGCTGTACACTTCATTGTTTTGACATCTCAATAATATAAAATGTCTAATTTCAATGTTTGTTTTGGCACCTGAAGAAATGCCCAAAACTTCTGAGCAAAACAATAATTTTTCCCTGAAGTGGCCAGCCCAAAGTCAACAGCAATAGATTCAGTTAAACAAATCAGACAGTGAACCTCAGCGCTCCAACCCAAATGTTCATCCCACTTTTCCTCAGGAACAGAGACCAGAGAAGTCTCTTCAGCTGGAACAACTTTTTTACTCTCAAACCATAAACAAAAGAAACATCTGGAGGACTTCTTCACAGCTTGACACCACAGCTTCAGGCTACCAACTACATCTATCCCACCCGGAGGGAACCTGGACACCAGCCCTCCAGGACAAGGACAGAGTACCACTGGTTTAAAGTTATGCTGGAAATGAGTTTACGGGTCATCTCAGGGTGCTGGTCCCCAGAAGCAACAGGAAGACTTGACCTGAAGTGCCGTCCTTTACATAAAAGTTGGAAAGTGACTCAATAAAACAAATGAACAACAAACAACCTGAAGTTCAAAGGTTTAGCAGGTTTGACGGATCTCTGATCCGCCTGGTTGGCGTCTCACAGGTTAACGCTGTAACCACCACAGTGGACACGTTCCCTGATAAGGTGAACTCTTTAGAGGAAACAAAGAGCCACATCTGGTTCATCAGCAACACCAGAAGGTGAAGTTAAATGTCAGGTTAAAAGCACCGTGTGTAAAAACGCGCACACACACAGCTTTTTGGTGAAGACCACTCACCACACACAATCACACTTAATCAGTAGTTATTCTCGTCAGCTCACACCGTGGTGCCCCACCTCCTCCCCACCCCTCCTCCTCTCACTGACAATGTGGAGGTGGCTCAGCATTGGGAGATTTCTTTCACAACCACCTATGGAGGCGTATTTAACAGAAAACCTCAGTAGTAGCAAGGAGGAAGTACTTACTTTGACACCATCTGTTTTTTTGGCCAGCAGACTCTTGCCTGCTGTAGGGACAAAGATGAGACAATTATTGACCAGAAGGAATAAGCAAGTGTGTGCATGCACTCGAACACCAGGTTTATTCAAGACTGTTCAGTAGCTAGCCGCCTCTGGGATGCTGGAAAAAGACGGAGGAGAAAATGAACTATGTAAGAGAATAATCAGTCTAGAACATGCAGAGACGAGTCAGACACAGCCAGAGCAGCCGAGTCCAGGAATACAGGTTCTCCCTTTTCCTTACCCGTTTTCACCAAGGCACAAAAGAAGTGTGATTAAAAAGGAGTGAGCTGGAATCATGTTAGCGCTGATACTTCGATCTGCTTTTCTGGGGTTGATCTACTCTCACATGCAAGGATCAACTCAGACCGGATCAGTAAGGGAAAGAAGAGCTTGGTGCCTTTTATTTACTGACAGAAGCTTTATAGTAGGGCTGCACGATATTAGGAAAACCTGCGATATTTGATAACAGTGCTTAATATTGCGATATCGATATTACTCGTGATAAATGAACAAATACTAAAGTATGCAGTGTTGATGTCGTCTGGCGTGTGACGTCTGCTCTGGGTTCAAAGCAAACAAAAACTAATGCATGAATTCCATTACAACATAACATTTTTATTGCAAAAATATGCAGCTGCACCTGCTACTGTATTAGCAGCTGCACCTGCTACTGTATTAGCAGCTGCACCTGCTACTGTATTAGCAGCTGCACCTGCTGCTGTATTAGCAGCTGCACCTGCTACTGCATTAGCAGGTGCACCTGCTACTGTATTAGCAGGTGCACCTGCTACTGTATTAGCAGCTGCACCTGCTACTGTATTAGCAGCTGCAGCTGCACCTGCTACTGTATTAGCAGCTGCACCTGCTACTGTATTAGCAGCTGCAGCTGCACCTGCTACTGTATTAGCAGCTGCACCTGCTACTGTATTAGTGGCTGCACCTGCTACTGTATTAGCAGCTGCACCTGTTACTGTATTAGCGGCTGCACCTGCTACTGTATTAGCAGCTGCACCTGCTACTGTATTAGCAGCTGCGCCTGCTACTGTATTAGCGGCTGCACCTGCTACTGTATTAGCGGCTGCGCCTGCTACTGCATTAGCGGCTGCACCTGCTACTGTATTAGCGGCTGCGCCTGCTACTGCATTAGCGGCTGCACCTGCTACTGTATTAGCGGCTGCACCTGCTACTGTATTAGCGGCTGCACCTGCTACTGTATTAGCAGCTACTGTATTAGCAGCTGCACCTGCTACTGTATTAGCGGCTGCGCCTGCTGCTGTATTAGCGGCTGCGCCTGCTGCTGTATTAGCGGCTGCGCCTGCTGCTGTATTAGCGGCTGCGCATGCTACTGCATTAGCGGCTGCACCTGCTACTGCATTAGCGGCTGCGCCTGCTGCTACATTAGCGGCTGCGCCTGCTACTGCATTAGCGGCTGCGCCTGCTACTGCATTAGCGGCTGCACCTGCTACTGCATTAGCAGCTACACCTGCTACTGCATTAGCAGGTCCACCTGCTACTGTATTAGCAGGTGCACCTGCTACTGTATTAGCAGCTGCACCTGCTACTGTATTAGCAGCTGCAGCTGCACCTGCTACTGTATTAGCAGCTGCACCTGCTACTGTATTAGCAGCTGCAGCTGCACCTGCTACTGTATTAGCAGCTGCACCTGCTACTGTATTAGCGGCTGCACCTGCTACTGTATTAGCAGCTGCACCTGTTACTGTATTAGCGGCTGCACCTGCTACTGTATTAGCGGCTGCGCCTGTTACTGTATTAGCGGCTGCACCTGCTACTGTATTAGCGGCTGCGCCTGCTACTGTATTAGCGGCTGCGCCTGCTACTGCATTAGCGGCTGCGCCTGCTACTGTATTAGCGGCTGCGCCTGCTACTGCATTAGCGGCTGCGCCTGCTACTGCATTAGCGGCTGCGCCTGCTACTGTATTAGCGGCTGCGCCTGCTGCTGTATTAGCGGCTGCGCCTGCTGCTGTATTAGCGGCTGCGCATGCTACTGCATTAGCGGCTGCACCTGCTACTGCATTAGCGGCTGCGCCTGCTGCTACATTAGCGGCTGCGCCTGCTGCTGCATTAGCGGCTGCGCCTGCTACTGCATTAGCGGCTGCGCCTGCTACTGCATTAGCGGCTGCACCTGCTACTGTATTAGCAGCTACACCTGCTACTGCATTAGCAGGTCCACCTGCTACTGTATTAGCAGGTGCACCTGCTACTGTATTAGCAGCTGCACCTGCTACTGTATTAGCAGCTGCAGCTGCACCTGCTACTGTATTAGCAGCTGCACCTGCTACTGTATTAGCAGCTGCAGCTGCACCTGCTACTGTATTAGCAGCTGCACCTGCTACTGTATTAGCGGCTGCACCTGCTACTGTATTAGCAGCTGCACCTGTTACTGTATTAGCGGCTGCACCTGCTACTGTATTAGCGGCTGCGCCTGTTACTGTATTAGCGGCTGCACCTGCTACTGTATTAGCGGCTGCGCCTGCTACTGTATTAGCGGCTGCGCCTGCTACTGTATTAGCGGCTGCGCCTGCTACTGTATTAGCGGCTGCGCCTGCTACTGCATTAGCGGCTGCGCCTGCTACTGTATTAGCGGCTGCGCCTGCTACTGCATTAGCGGCTGCGCCTGCTACTGCATTAGCGGCTGCGCCTGCTACTGCATTAGCGGCTGCACCTGCTACTGTATTAGCGGCTGCACCTGCTACTGTATTAGCGGCTGCACCTGCTACTGTATTAGCGGCTGCACCTGCTACTGTATTAGCGGCTGCACCTGCTACTGTATTAGCAGCTACTGTATTAGCAGCTGCACCTGCTGCTGTATTAGCGGCTGCGCCTGCTGCTGTATTAGCGGCTGCACCTGCTGCTGTATTAGCGGCTGCGCCTGCTACTGCATTAGCGGCTGCACCTGCTACTGCATTAGCGGCTGCGCCTGCTACTGCATTAGCGGCTGCGCCTGCTACTGCATTAGCGGCTGCGCCTGCTACTGCATTAGCGGCTGCGCCTGCTACTGCATTAGCGGCTGCACCTGTTGTTGCATTAGCGGCTGCGCCTGCTACTGCATTAGAGGCTGCGCCTGCTGCTGCATTAGCGGCTGCGCCTGCTGCTGCATTAGCGGCTGCGCCTGCTACTGCATTAGCAGCTGCGCCTGCTACTGCATTAGCGGCTGCGCCTGCTACTGTATTAGCGGCTGCACCTGCTACTGTATTAGCGGCTGCACCTGCTACTGCATTAGCAGCTGCACCTGCTACTGTATCAGCAGCTGCACCTGCTACTGTATTAGCAGCTGCACCTGCTACTGTATTAGCAGCTGCACCTGCTACTGCATTAGCAGCAGAACAACAAACTGCATGCATGCAGTTTCTCAGTGACTTTAAAACATCACCTCCACCATAAAACTTTTTCTGATGCTCCAAATACAGAAAAACATCCCATAGCAGGGTTTTTTGAATAAATAGTTTAAACGTTAAATAATAGTTAACATCACTTAAATGCAACAGCAAATTCTCTCATTGCTGCTGAGCATTTTCTCCACTTATGTGGTTATGATATAAGGCTGTTGCTGTAATTGGGAAGTGAACTGTGCTGGGCCAAACTAGGAGAATATTAGGATTTTTTGAGGGAAAGAGAAAAACAATTGTCTACCTTTCAGAAGAGGAACTGGCAAAAAAAACTACATGGAAAATATGTGAAAACGTTTGTTTTTAACCCCAAATTGAACAAGTTTACCTAGATCTTAAAAAGCAGCTCAGATGATGAAACTGCAACTATGATTCTGATAACAAGCTAACACATTGAACTAGCTCCTCTAAGATAACCGGCTAGCAGAGCTTCTGACTGACAGTTTATGTGCAGCAGCAAATCAACTATCCTGATTAACAAGGTTATAAAAGCTCATAAATGAAAAATCACTTTGATGTGTGGGGGAACTTTTCCAGGCCCTCTTTAGCAGGGTGGGACTGGGAGGAGAGTGCTGCAGCCTTTTAGCTGGAAGCTAACCAGAGCCTGGGGCTAACATCACCACCCGGTGGAACACTAGCGACATGAAGGTGGGTTGGTTCACCGGCACGTGTCGGAGTCAGCCCGGTTATTATCAGCTGCTTAACGACAGCGAGCAAACTCACGTTCACGTTTGAAAGCAGCGCTGATTCCAGAAACATCAGCACAAAGTGCGTTCGTTGCTCTGAGCCAGCATGACGAACAAGGGAACGGCGCCGCTAACTCAATTCGGGTGTTGCTTTCCATCCTAAGGGTCGACGTAGGGGGCGGGCGTATTATGTGAACAGACCCATCTGATTGGCCGCATATCAGAGGGGCTACATTTGATTGGTCATATAATACCTCCGCGTAAAAAACAGAGCTGGTTTACAAAAAGTTGATGTATGACACGAATATAAATGTTAAACCAAACATTTATCGCTGTTTTTGACGTGCTTTGCGATGGGCCTGTCGCACGTCCTGTTATCACGATGACGATAATTTTTCGAAATATTGTGCAGCCCTAGTTTATAGTGATGTCAAATATCCCTTAACTGTCATGGTCTGCGTCTCCCTCATGTGTCTCCTTGTGTCTCCATCCCCCTCTAGGATCCCCTCATGTGTCCCCTGCTCTGCAGCCCCTCCAGCCCCCCCCCCCCAGGTCCTGTGCTCCCGTTGGTCTCCCCTAGTCACCCCTCTGTAGTTTTTCTATAGGTTCAGCTTTTCATTTAATTAGTCTCTTTTAGTGTGTTTCTTTCCCCACCGGTTTTTCAGTTCTCCTCCCTCCTTAGATCATTAGTTGTTTATCTTGCTCTTCTTGTCTTTAGGCTTTGTTTTTATTCTTAGGTCACGTTAGTTTCCCCTCCTCAGCTCACTTCCCTCTCACTGATTAGTTAATTGATTTCACCAGGTTTCTCTCCCCACACACCTGCAGCTCATCTCCCACTCATCCTGCCTCAGTGTATTTAACCCTGTCTGCGTCTCAGGACCTGTCCACACGTAGCCGGGGATCTGCCAAAACGTAGATATTTTTCTACGTTTTGGCCTGTCATCCACATGAAAACGGAGTTTTTCACACGAAAACGGGTCTTTTTAAAAACTCCGGCCAAAGTGAAGATCTGCGTTTTCTCCGTTTTGGGTGTCTGCGTGTGGACAGACAAAACCGGAGTTTTAAGGTCTGCAACGTCACTTTCCGCGACAAAAAAATGCTGACATCACGTGTGCGACCTGTGTTTACACTAGCCGACAGCATGGATGCCCTCAGAGCTGCGCTCGCTTTATCAATTGTCCAAGCGCTTTCTGCTTGTTTGTTTTTGCAAGCGGAATTACTGCTGCTTGCTGAAGACCACAGACGAAGGACGAGGTTAAGAGCGGGGGAAGTACTGCCGCCTACAGGTCTGGCACGTCCTTAACAACGTATTTATCCAGGTACGCGTGGACAGAGTTTGTTTTTAAAACGCGGTGGTGTGGATGCAAGTTTTTGGAGGGGCGGATATTCGTTTTTAAAAAACCCGGCTACGTGTGGACTAGGCCTCAGTGTGGTTTTGGTTCATTGTTTCGTGTCAGCGTCCCCCCCCCCCAGGTTTCTAGGTTTCCTTTGGCTCTGCCCTACTTGGTATTTTTGGCTTTGTACCGTGCTTTGTTTTTCATTGGTCTCTTCATCTTGATAAAGATGTTTCATTTTTACATCCTCTCCCGCTCCGTGTCGTTCTGGGTGTCTGCACATCGAGTCCTACTCCTCCACTTCTCAACATGACATTAACAGCCCCATTAGAGGAACAAATCACTGAAAATGGTTCAAAGTGGAAACATTGTGTTTGTCTAAAGCAGCTTTTGGTATCTGGGACAATCAGAAGAACCATGTTGATGCTGCATGGAGCTCATCAACTGTAGATGTTACATAGACAACTACAAACGTGTACATGACAACTACATAGATGTTGCATGTTTATGTTTGTTTGGCATCTAGTTAATTCTCCAGTGTTTTTTTTTCATGAAAGGGGTTTTGATGCAATAGGGACATCGACTCAACCAATACAAACTGATCTTTAGGAGACGTCATAAAACCTGCTGTCCTTTAACGTGCCAACATAAAACACTGGTGACAGAAGCCTGTGCTGCTGCTTTAGTCGGCATGCTTCAGAACCAAAGACTGTGTGTTCAGGACTCTTACCTTACAGGTATGTTATCAGACAGGAAAGGGAGGAAGAAAGAGAAAAAATCCTCAGGATTTTGCTCTGATACTGAAGCAACACTGACATTCGACAAGTTAAGACATTGATGTAAATTAAATGATGAAAAATAAACATTTTTGACCATCTTTAAAGACTTTAGAAGGTTTTAGAAGAACGCCCTTTTAAAGGGGCCTGCCTTATTGGCCCGTGTGGTGTTTGTGGCCGTAGAATGGGACGGAGGTCAATATTCTCTAAACACCAACACGGGACAAAAACCAGGAGCACTCAAAGGAGCAGCGTTGTCAACACCAATCCAACACTTTATACAGACACACTCAATGAGGCATTAATGGGATCATCTTTGGTATTTTAGAGGATGACAAGAAGTGAACGGAAAAGGGTGGCCTGCCAACTCCGGGTCGGGAGAGAGGTCCTACCTCAAGTGGAGGAGTTTAAGTATCTCGGGGTCTTGTTCACGAGTGAGGGTAGGAGGGATCGGGAGATCGACAGGCGGATTGGTTCGGCATCTGCAGTGATGCGGACGCTGAGCCGATCTGTCGTGGGGAAGAGGGAGCTGAGCCAGAAAGCCAGGCTCTCGATTTACCGGTCGATCTACGTCCCAATCCTCACCTATGGTCATGAGCTTTGGGTAATGACCGAAAGAACGAGATCGCGGATACAAGCGGCCGAAATGAGTTTCCTCCGTAGGGTGGCCGGGCTCAGCCTTAGAGATAGGGTGAGGAGCTCGGACATTCGGGAGGGACTCGGAGTAGAACCGCTGCTCCTTCGGATCGAAAGGAGCCAGTTGAGGTGGTTTGGGCATCTGGTCAGGATGCCTCCTGGACGCCTCCCTGGGGAGGTGTTTCGGGCATGCCCTGCCGGCAGGAGGCCCCCGGGTCGACCCAGGACACGTTGGAGAGGTTACATCTCCAATCTGGTCCGGGAACGCCTTGGGGTCCTGCCGGAGGAGCTGGTGGAGGTGGCCGGGGAGAGACGGTCTGGAGCTCCCTAGTTGGGATGGTGCCCCCGCGACCCAGACCCGGATAAGTGGAGGAAGACGACGACGACGACAAGAAGTGAATGGATAACACTTTTGACAGAATCAGGCAGACCTGGAATCATAGGGACAGCAGATTCAGTCCTACCTGAGAAGTTACGAGTGGCGAGCATCGTAGTCAGGATGGCTCCCTAAAGAGAAAACAGGTGCAACACACGTGTTGAATGCAGCTGCCTGGACACGGGCCATGTCCTTACGAGGAGCAGCAGGTGAACAGCCATGTTGATTACCTTGAGTTTTCTCCTTGCGTTGAATTTCTTGAGGCAATCCACCGTCTCCTGTCTGTGCATCATTGAGGCCACAGTGGAGCGTTGCTGGAAATAAAGACATCAATGTGAAGCCTGATGACAGTAAGACAGAAAAGACGTATAGGGGTTCTGAGGGACACCTACACAGATCCAGGGGTGTTTGAGAGCATCTGTAGCCGTGATTCTCCTAGAGGTGTTAATGGTCAGCATCTTGATGATCAGGTCTTTGGCCTCTGGTGTCACTGTGTCCCACTCTGGAGATGGGAACTATTGGACAGATTTTACAAACAGAAACTAAGGTCAACAAACCTTTCTACGTATAAATCTGTAATAACATAAATGTTGTAGTTCTAGTTCTATTCCTAAACATCCAAATAAATCTAAATTTAGGCTATTTTGCTAGTTTTAAGCATTTAGCCAAGCAAAGTTTGCATTTCCCAATGGCAGATTTTGTTTACTCAACAAAAAAAGAAATAGGTCAATGACCTGTACTTGTATAGCACCTTCTTCTGGTTCTACAGCCCCCCAAAGTGCTTTACAACATTCACCCACAATGAGCCACAGTGTAGCCATAGCTGCCCGGGGACGCTCTGATGGAAGCGAGGGTACTGAGCACTGGCACCACAGGTCCCTCTGACCACCACCAGCAGGCCAGGCGGGTGGAGTCTCTTTGCTTATGGACACAACAACTGTAACAGACTGAGCAGGACTCAATCCCACAACCTTCCCGTTATGCAGCACTTAACTCCTGTGCCACTGTCGTCCCAACAAAACCAAGAAAATTAGAATTTTTTACAATATTTTGCATATTTAACTCGTTCACTGCCATTGACGACTTAAGTCGTCATTTGCATTTTTTACTGTGTGGGCATCGGAATGAGCCGCCGCACCGTGAGAACAAACATCCCAGCTCTAAAGCCGATCTTCATCCGCGTACGTCACACGTCACGTGATCAGGAAGCAGAAAATCCATGTGTTAGGAGATCGTTTTGGGCCGCTGCTGTAGAAAAAGTGAGGCGCGAACCGGAAAAGCTTCTGTCGATCACAATTCGACAACGGGTTATGAAAGAACGGATAACGCTCGAAACGCTCGGATTCTTCCTGATGTAAGAGCTGAGTCTCCGCTTTGTATTGGCGTTGACATCATCCTAGCGTGCAACGTTCTGTGACTCTTAAAAAAATGTAAAATCTCTGAAAAACGCTGGCAGCGAATGAGTTAATGTAATGCTTTTTGTCTAGAGATTTATTTTTCGTTTTTTGACTAAAAACTGATCAAATGTTTATTAAAAAATCTGCTTTTTTAAAAATTTTCTCAGAAATCAGTTTTTGCAGTGTCGCTCTGAGTCAATACCATTCACAGTAGTATTAAATACAGATGAGAGATTAATTAAGATTTAACAGATTCTAGTTCATGAATCTGGTAACACTTTACAATAAATGTCCCTTTATTATTGTTACTTAGTGCATTATTAAGCATCAATAAGCCATTAAAAGTATTAACAACTGCTTAACACTTTAATGTCATGCATGGTTAGGCCGTTAAGCCTTTGGACCAGCCTTTGGGCTAGTTGAACTCTGGAGAAAAGACATCACTGTGGAGTTTTGAAACACAAACTCATTCTAAATCCAAAGACTTTCCTTTACATCAACATCTTCTTTGACTGAGACCCAACGCTCTTAGCGCCATCGACTGGCGGCGAGCCCAGAACACTCCTAGACCTAGATGCTTCACACTCTTTGATTCTGGTTTGGCCACCAGAACGTGCAAACACAGCCGGTCAAACTCACATCGTAAGCTCCAGTTTTAATCTGCTGGTAGAGTCTGTGCTGGTCCTCGTCCCAGAATGGAGGATATCCGACAAGAAGAATGTAGAGGATCACACCTACACACACACACACACACACACACACACACACACTTTAGAAAGTCATAATCACTAATTGAATTGTTAAAGTAACAAAAAAAAATCAACAAGAAATTTTAAACGACTCCTCTGACAAATTTAAGGTAAACAGCAGGTGGCGCTACATCGTTTTCATTCATTTGCATGAAGGTGCTCCTGCTTCAACGACACCATTTATTTTCATTGGGTTGAACTTAATTTCCTTCAAGTTTCCCAACCAAAAGTCTTATTTAAATACTGAACATAAAGAGGTAGTTGAACAATGTCCAGATTTGTTTTTAAAGCTGCAAATGTTAACGTCTGAGTCGACCAAATCCAAAGCCTGGTAATGCACAGCGTATTTGAAGAGGAGTGTGTGACATCTGTAATTACACACACACATTCACACAGAGTGAGAGTGTGTTTGTGAGAGTGTGCACGTGTTGCCCAAACTCTCTAGCCCCTCACTATGCTGGTGTGTAGATGGACTGTGAGAAATGAATAGACCCAGAGGTTGTAGTTCTTTGCATCCCACACACACTAAAGCTGATGCCCAAATAAAGGCATTTTAATTTCTCTTTTAATTCTGTGTGATTTGTCCCACAAGACAGGATAAAGTCCCCTGACTTTTAAATCATTCTACTGAAGACTTACCGCAGGCCCACATGTCAACAGGTTTACCATAAGGCTCTTTCCTCAGCACCTCTGGAGACAAGTAACCCGGTGTACCAGCAAAACCTGCAACACATGTAAACACAAACATTTATCCTGGCTTTCTGTCCAACTAAACAGAGACTAAAACTAAGGCTTACTGGCCCCATAATCTCAACATGTCAACATGAGACAACAGTCAAAAGTTAGGCATGGGTCAGGCAGGGAAATTATTTAGAGGCATGTGAATTTGTTTCCTGGGTTTAGAAAACAGCTTCACACCCTGAGTTTAGAAACTATGAGCATTAGTCTGTTGCCATGCAAAGGTATAAATGCAACTATTTCTGTTGCCGTCCACAAACTGATTAAAAACGCAACAACAATTATCACAACTGTAACGTGATGAAGGAGCTATTCCACCAAAGGTTATGTCCCCTCTCTCCTCAGGAAGAACTAATCTGCATGGGACTGCCTGAAGGTCTCATGCATTTGCTTCTAAACTGCTTCCTTTCCAGCTCAAGAGAAGAATGAAGACAAAGGACTCTTTCTCTTAATAAATCAGAAGAACTCTATTTTTAATAAGCTAATCAAACAAAGCGTTAGCCAATAATAAAATGTGAACCAATCTGTGAAATGAAAATATTAATTACTTGATATTATAATCCTGTAGAATATAATAAGTAATATGCCTTTAAACATTTCCACTAGAGACTGATCACACGTAAGGTTAAGTCACATGACACATTGCTTTTACTGATCCAATCAGAATCTTCCAGATCTGGCGGAGGCGTGGTTTTGTTGGCGCTTGGTAAATCTGTCCCTTTTTGATTCAACCGTAAATCAAAACATCCAAATTATAAAACTATGCCCACGTCAGCTTAAACTCGAGTTCAAAGCTTTCTAGAGAAGTTGTCGGAGTGGCCGATCCGTAACTTTCCTCTTCAGCCGAAAGAACCAACGACAAGCTGGTAAACATGTTGCTGTTCCACCTGCTGCAACGGTTCCTTTCAGAATAAAAGCGGAACCATCACGACCCCGTTTTGGCTCTTGCTAGATGCCGATAAACTGTTGTGACCCGGAAGTATCTCAAGACTGGTCTGGTCGGCAACTGCTGCTTTTCCTACCGGGTTCGGTTCCAGAGAAGGTCAAGCTGGACCTTAACACCTCCTGATCTAACGGGGACTTCCGCAAAGGGTACGTAGGCCGGCAGAATGGCGTCTCAATGTGTGTTATAAATCTCCAACCAAGCTTAGCGCGAAACATCATCTTCACTCCCATCAGAACTAATCGTTTCTCCGGATTTGCTGGTTCTGAACAACATTCCACACTACACCATCCTCCGTCTTACTTCACCTTAGTTACACCATACGTTTAGTGTTAAAGTTAGTCTAGTTTTCATTTGTTTAGTAATAAATCTTTAAACTTTTAAAACTTGACTCTCTCTTCTGTTGTCTCTCAGTTAATACGAAGTGGTTACATAATCCCTGCAATAAAAAGTTCCAATCTTCTGGTTTAAATTATCCAAAGATCCATAAGATTGATTTCATATTTCCTATGGAATCTCACATCTTATGGTTCATGAAATAACATGTAAACTTAATCGTTACACAACAATAAAAGGAACTCCAGCTATGAGGATGTGTGTTACGTCCTCTATTGGTGGATAAGGAGAAGGACGGGGAGTAACACAGAGGCATGTGTTTCAGGTGTGGAAATTGAAAACATTGATTTTATTAAAAGGATTTTAAAATGACAAAAAGCTCCAAATCTAAAAGTACTTAAAACACATTGTTAAAATGTCCATGGGTTTACGTTTAAAACAGACATCCGAATGCTCCCAAACATTCACAATCAAAGTCCACTGACTTACACAGAAGTTTGGGAGCCAAGAGGAAACCAGCACTCTGGTCCCTCGTCTGTTAAAAACCTCTAAAAGCTCTTAAGCTTCACTAAGCTTTAAGAACTAAACCCCATTTAAAAGCCATTAAAACACAAACAAATGGAGCACATGAGAGAACTGGCACAGATCCAGTCTCTCCCTTCCCCCTGGCAGCTCTCCCTTTCATGCTGCTCAGGAGGTGATCAGCCCAGGTGAGTGCAGCTGTGCAGGTAGGAGGAGGAGGCAATGCACTGACTGTCCTCTGCAGAGTCAGCTTTCTGGGACAAAACAGCAACAGCTGTAACAACGTGTGTGCCCTAAAAAGCCACAAGTTTTCTGTTGTACCAAACTATGTTGTTAGAAACACACAAAATACTGCTGTTTATTTATAAATCTATAATATTTAGTACATTTTTGGACATACGTAGGACGCCATGTTTTCCACACGCAATACACTCTGGGGGCGATGACGTACATTGGTTGCATGGAAGAATAGCTATTGACGCTAGTGTTTGTTTACGTGCTCACCGTATTAATAATTAAGTGTCCACTGAAACTGCTCTGTTAACAGTGACTGAATCCTTAAAAGAAGCTAGAGCGACAGGCAAATCCTCAGTGCTTATCCTGCTCGACTTATCGGCAGCATTTGACACTGTCAACCATGGCTTCCTTTTGTCCACACTCTAGCATGGGCATCACAGAGAAAGCACACACCTGGTTTGAATCATACCTCACAGGACGATCATTCAGTGTATCTTGGCTTGGACAACCCTCTAACGTGCACCATCTTGCCACAGGAGTCCCCCAGGGCTCTGAACTAGGACCTCTTCTCTTTGCCATATACACCACCTCACTGGGTGAGATCATTCGATCACATGGCTTCTCCTACCACTGCTATGCAGACGACACCCAGCTCTATCTGTCATTTCCACTGGACGACCACACTGTTTCTGCACGAATATCAAACTGTCTCTCTGACATATCAAAATGGATGAAATCCCACCATCTCCAACTCAACCTCTCTAAAACTGAACTACTTGTCATCCCAGCAAAACCATCCATACAGCACAATATCTCAATCCAAAATGACTTCCTATCTCTGGTTCCTTCAAAGGCAGTTGGAAATCTGGGTGTTGTGATTTATGAACGCCTGCCCTTAAAGATCATGTTGCCTCTGTTGCTCGTTCATGCCGCTTTGCGCTGTATAACATACGAAAGATCAGACCATACCTAACACAACATGCCACCCAGCTCCTGGTGCAATCTACTGTCATCTCCCGCCTCGACTACTGCAACGCCCTTCTAACTGGTCTTCCAGCCTGTACTGTGAGACCTCTTCAAATGGTCCAGAACGCAGCGGCGTGTCTGGTCTTCAATCAGTCAAAAAGAGCACACGTCACTCCTCTGTTCATTGAGCTCCACTGGCTACCGCTAGCAGCAGGCATCAAATTCAAATGGCTAACACTAGCATACAAAGTCCGAGATGGTACGGCTCCCATCTACCTGAATCCTCTTGCAAAGGCTTACGTCTCGGCCCGGCCGCTCCGGTCATCACAGGATCGTCGGCTAGCAGTGCCTACACCACGCTCAGGACAATCCAGACTCTTCTCATGCATCGTTCCACAAATGTGGAATGACCTTCCAAGCACTACCAGAACAGGGGCTTCCTTTTCAATTTTCAAGAAACTCCTGAAGACCCTGCTCTTCAGAGAGCATCTTCTAAACTAGCACCCTCCCTGCACCCCCCCCCCCCCCCTCTACCGTCCACTCCTTGTTCCCTCCTCTCCATGACTGATGTCAATGTTGTTGTTGTTATTGTTGTTGTTAGCCTCAAGGGCAGCACGCCGATTATCACTTGTAAGTCGCTTTGGACAAAAGCGTCTGCTAAATACATAAACATTAAGTAAAATGCCACATTGTGCTGCTTTTGGATGTAATTTCCAGTCAGAGGGCAACAAGTGGAGTGATGTGAGTTTACACAGCTTTCCCACTGGCAAGAAGAGGAGAAAGCAATGGGAAGATGCCTGTGGACGAACACAACTTCCCAAAGATCCGCGGCTGTGTTCCCAACATCTTTCTCCTGATGCTTTTGAGGCTTATAGTCGACCGCAAATACTTAAAGAGCTCACCAGAGCGGCTGGGTATGAGAAAAGGTGGAAACTAAATGCTTTACCGACCATTTTCCCACACAAAGAGCCTAAACATCCTTGGAGAGACAAGAGACGCTGGACGCTCTCCTGAGCCGACAACCCGCTCCTGCAGCTGCCGCTTCTGTTACGTTCAGCGAAACATCGGACATGCCACTCGTCACAGATGAAGCTGAACATTCACCTCTCCCGTCAGTAAAACAAGAAGTGCAGCAACACAGTGTTCTCCACATATATAATATCTGCAAACATGCTTCAAGTCGTTTCACTGAATATCCGAATCATCTATAAAGCACACGGCAGCTCTGGATGCTAAAATTCTCCTTAGTCATTCATAATTGAATAAGTTTGATCACCCGATAGCTTACGGTTAACTTCTGCTGACACAGATGTGTGCACTCTGTCAGTCTTTGACTGGCGGAGGCTCCAGTTCAGAGAGAAAACAATGAGTAAGGTTGAGATTGCTTTATTGAAGCACCATGTCACACGAACCCAGAAACAACCAATCTCCCTCTCTACAACAGCTTGCTGCCTTTATAACCTCTGCGATTACGGGAAGAGACCAAGAAAAGGGTAATCAGGAAACAAAAACCAAACAATATTTACATAAACCTAACACAAAGACATTAAAATGGTACCAGTAAATATTTACACAAATACAATTCATTAAACTTAAACAAATCTAAAGTTAATCAACCAAGTAAACCAAATTTAACATAACTTCTCTAAGCCTCACTCCTCCATCTCTAAATGGTAGGCTCCAAGAGCTTTTAAGCAGAACTTTGGGTTTGCACCTCCCTTTGCCGCCCCGCCCTTCTACGGAGACAAACCAGGAAGAGGTGAGCGCATACTCTCAAATCATATCTTAAGGATTAACTCATAATTTAAGCAAACACAGTGATTAAATATAGTTGACATTCTTACTCCATTCTTAAAGGGGCATTATGGAAGTGTGACAGCCAAAACATGTATAGAAATAATAAATGTCTTCTTCATACGTTCTCCTGCAATGCCCTGGTCCTGTAGAATGAGCCCTGGCATTTTTACTGTGATTGCCTGTT